GTAGCCCTTTTCCAAAAAGGTTCCCATGTACAGCTAATCCTCGACTTACAACAGTTCACTTAGTGACTGTTCAAAGTTACAACATTACTGAAAACTTTTTAACCCTTATGATTGTCGCGGCATCCCAGTGGCAGTGGTGGGATTCAAAAAATTTTACTACCAGTTCTGTGGGCGTGGCTTGGTGGGCGTGGCAGGGGAAGGATACTGTAAAATCTCCAGTCAGAGGTAGTATTTGCCAGTTCTCCAAACTACTCAAAATGTCTGCTACTGGTTCTTCAGAACTGGTCAGAACCAGCTGAATACCACCTCTGCCCGGTGGTGACATCATTTTCATTCAGATGCTTGGCAACTGACTCACATTTATGACAGCTGCAGTGTCCCAGAGTCATGCGATCCCCTTTTGCGACCTTCTGACAACAAAGTCAATGGGGAAACCAGATTCACTTAACAACCATGTTACTAATTTAACAACAGCAGTGATTCACTGATTTTAAAAATGAAGAAAAGTCGTAAAACAGGGCAAAACTCACTTCACAAATATCTCGCTTAGCAACATAAACATAATTGGGCTCAATTGTGGCTGTAAGTTGAGGACTACCTGTATTTACTTTAGAGAATAAATTGACAAAAAGATCAAGTTGAAGCCTCCTAATTAGGTATGCTAAAAGCCCAAAATATGTACTGATGATCTTCCATTTACAACCACAGTCGGGATCGAAATTTCAGTTAAGCAATTCAGTTGTGAAGTGAGTCATCATATGACCAGATCCAATTTTACGATCATTTTTCCCACAGTCATTAAGTGAATCGCATGGCTCTTAAGCAAATCTGGCTTTCCCCACTGACTTTCCTTATTGAAAGCCAGCTGGGAAAGTCACAAAATTGTGATCATTTGACTGCAAGATGCTGCAATCATCATAAGTGTGAGCCAGTTGCCAGTTTTCACCACCATCATAACTATGAATCGTTGTTTAATGGCTGGTCAAAAATCAAGGACTGCCTGTAGGAGGAATGTGGAGACAAATACGAGCAAACTAAAAACTCAGATGCTCACGTTTTAAGTTCGAGTTCCATAGGAGATATTTTGCCCCAAATTACAGGAACATTAAAATTTCTGAATCTCTCATTTTAGAAAATAAGGGAGAATATAAAATGACAGAAACAAACACACTACACACACACACACACACACACACACACACACACACACACACACACA